ATTACAATTATTATTATTGTTGTTGTTGTTGTATTTTTAGGCACCACACACTTAGCAAGGTCACTCAACACCTAATGGCGTGTCTCCATTTCCACCAAATAATTATAAGGTTTGGTTCTATGTATAAAGCTTTCAGAGAGCTGGCTCGTGTAGAACGGCTCTTTCAGCTCCCAAACAGCCTTTAGCTTATTATCGTCTGTAGCCTGAATGCTCTGTGTTGATACATTTTGTGTGTTGATAATCTTGTGCATTTGTTCTTTTACAAAAGCAGGCACTCTTACCTTTGTTCTATTTTAAACAAAACTTTTATTTTTTATTTAATGGATTGAGTAAGCTGGGCCCTTGAGGGGACAGACCCATGCTCCACCTGAATGTCACGTCTAACCACTCTCTGTTTTTATAAAACAGTATCATCCTTTCAGGGGTGGGCAGTTGTCCTCAAGAGTCACTATTGTTTATGCTTYACTTGTTTCTCTGCTCCAGCACCTGATTCAGTGACTGAATTACCTCTTCAAGTTCTGCAGAAGCTAATTAATCACGTATTCATTCAAATCAGTTAGAGCAGAGAAACAAGTGAAACTTGCAGGATAATAACCCTGGAGGAAGTTTGCCCACATCTGTRCTTTATCCTCGCATGTGATTGTTCATAAGGCCAGCTAAAAGAAGAAAAAAGAAAAAAAAAACACTGAGGAGMCGCCTCTCACTTGATAGGAGTCRGCTTTTCTGATTCACTACAAAGAATGATTCGACTCTAAGAGCTGATGCTTTTGAGCATGACACGTCACTATTCTCAGGATGATGATGGGTCATCATTGAGACTAAAACACAAAGAGTTGAGGCTTAAAAGCTATAATGTGTGACAATAAGATTCAATTTTGCATTTTTTTCTGTGTTATACTGCACAATATATGGGTTGAAATGAAACAAACATGACGTCCGGAGCTAACGCTATATGACTCCAAGTTAATATTATTAGCTGTGGAGCTAACACCATTTATACATTAGCTCAGGGGCTTAGAACACATGAACCAATATTAGCTGTGGAGCTAATACTATACTTATTAGTTCTAAAACTAAAAGTCTAAGGTTTAATTTTTATAAAGCAGCGATGTTGTCTCCATCATCATTTTCAGTTTCAGGATGAGTCTTTTCTACATTCTCCTCTGTCAACGGTTACAGTTTTATTGAAAAGGTCTGAACATCAGACATTGTCCAAAATTAACCGTCAAGCTGGATGGAGTTCACACCAGAGCAGATGATGCCATTGTTTACCCAGAATGCTTTGAGGCAGAAACAACCTAGCAATGTACATATGAGAATATTTGACTTTAATTTGTTGAAACTAAACAGTCATGTGACTATGTCCGCTTATTGTCGAAATAGTTTGATAATAAGAAGAGTTAGTGTTACAACTAGGCAGAGATCCCTTTAAAACGCCAACAAGGACTCTGTTTCAAAAATTGTTGCACAAATTTTAGAAAAATATTCAAATACCTTTCAACTTGGCCCTGCAAGTTGAAAGGAATTTAAAAACCCTCTCAAATGTATGGATACTGCCTTGTAAAGGCCATTTCAGTTTGTTTCCAACAGTCCAAAGAGATTTTAATGTAAATTTTATGTAMAAAAAACAATTACGTAAAATAGATGTTTTCACATTTCAACTACAAATTTTAAATCTGAATGTGTCACACTGTCTCAGCATGCTAACTTTATGGTGTGTGTGCACCGTGTGTTACCTAAATGCACAAATGGACAGTACTACTACAAGTAACAGTATGGTAGCCAGTAATATATATGTATATATATTTTAATTTTTGTTAAAAAAAAATCTAAATGTAGGACATGTTCAGCTAAAAGTAGCAAACGTTATACAGAAGCTACGTTTAAGGAGGGAAACATTAGTCAGAAGTAGCAAAATGGTAGATACAGCTAACTGAAAACTAAAAGCAGTAAAAGTTAAAGGCAGCCAAACTTGATACTTTTTTAAAACTTATTTATTAATCTTTGTTTACCCAGGTAAACTGTTTGAGAACCACTTGACACAGATTTTTGTTTCTTTTTTAACTCCTCAGACACGGACCTGTGCGTCAGGCACAGTGTGATGTTTGCCTCTGAGAGAGGATGTGTTATGTCACTCTGGAAAATAAAGAGAGAAGAAAGAAAGAACAAAAAAAAGATATCTGATCCAACTTTATTCTTTCAAGTTCATCGCTGTTATTGCATCCCTCCTTAACACTATCGCTACTTTTAGATAGCCTGATTCTACAATGAGTTAGCTGTTTTCCACTTGTATTAGCCTTTTGCTACATTTAGCTTTTAGCTAGAAGTTTGTTAATTTTTGATTGTAACCGGCCTGTTGCTATTTTTTGCGAGAGATGGTCTATAGTTGCTTGTAGTTTTTAACTAGACTTTATATTTAAATTTTAGTAGAATTTTGTTAATTTTTGCTCCTAGTCTGTTGCTGCTTTAAACAAGTATTTTACTACTTTAAGCTGAACTTTTTGTACTTGTAGTTTTTAACAGGCTTTTTGCTACATTAAGCATTTAGCTAAACTGTTAATTTTTACTTTTAGTGAGCCTTCTGCTTCTTTGAACTTTATTTTTTGTACACATGGTTTTTACTTTCATTTACTTTTAACTAGCGTATTGTTACTTGTAGTTTCTAACTAGCATTAAGCTACATTAGTTTTTTAACCTTTTTAACCTAACAACTCAGTTTCAGCTTCTTTCGCAAATTCCAGCAAAGTCATTCAACAATCAGTGTTTGAAATATGCTGTCATTTTGTTAAAGGTTGTTGAACATAGAAGAACAAAGGGATGAACCCCCTAAGAAATCTGACTTTTTATGTTATGTTTAGAACAACTGTGTGTAAAAACGTTTTAACCAGCAAAGTCTTCCTGGTGTCTGTTGCTCAGGTGTTACCAGCGGACAGAGCCTCATGATGAGTGGGATCCTGAAGAGAAAGCTTGAGGAGGGCCCCTCTTATCTGTCCCTGCAGGGTTCAGACGATGACGAGGTTTCCTGCAGCGACAGCGGCAACAGCAGCGACAGTCTGAACCACTCAGTCCCCTCAGGCATTCTGGATTGTAAGGTTCCACTCCTGAACCCTRAGAACACAATGAGAGACCTTCCTCTGACTGRCATCAAATTAAATACTGACACTATAATATACAGCAGGTAAAATAAGTATTGAACACRTCACCATTTTTCTCAGTAAATATATTACTAGAGGTGCWAATGACATGAAATTTTCACCAGATGTTGGTAACAACCCAAGTGATCCATACATACAAAGAAATCAAACCATAAATGTCCAGAAATGAAGTTATTTGTAATAATGTGGAATGRCACAGGGAAAAAGTATTGAACACATGAAGAAAGGGAGGTGTAAAAAGACATGGAAAGACAAGACACCAGCTGAACTCTCTCAGTAATTAGAAAGCAAGCCTGCCCCTTGTCAGTGCAAGTTAATATCAGCTGGTTCAGTCCCAAATGATGGCCAGGTATCACACAAGAACCATCTGATGATGGGTAAAAATAAAGAGCTCTCTCAAGACCTTCACAACCTTATTGTTGCAAAGCATAATGATGGCATCGGTTACAGAAGAATGTCTAAACTTCTGAAGGTTCCAGTGAGCACTGTTGGGGCCATAATTCAGAAGTGGAAAGAACATTATTTCACCATAAACCGACCACGACCAGGTGCTCCTCACAAGATTTCTGACAGAGGAGTGAAAAGAATTATCAGAAGAGTTGTCCAAGAGCCAAGGACCACTTGTGGAGAGCTTCAGAAAGACCTGGAATTAGCAGGTACGATTGTTTCAAAGAAAACAATAAGTAATGCACTGAACCACCATGGCCTGTATGCACGCTCACTACGCAAGACTCCACTGCTGAAGAAACAGCATGTTGAAGCTCCTTTAAAGTTTGCTGCACAACATTTAGACAAGCCTGTGAAACACTGGGAGAATATAGTCTGGTCAGATGAGACCAACATTGAACTGTTTGGATGCCAGAATACACATCCTGTTTGGAGGTCAAATGGCACTGCACATCAGCCCAAAAACACCATACCAACAGTGAAGTTTGGAGGTGGGAACATCATGGTGTGGGGCTGTTTTTCAGCATATGGTACTGGAAAACTTCAAATAATTGAAGGAAGGATGAGTGGAAAAATGTACAGAGACATTCTTGATAAAAATCTGCTTCCATCTACCAGGATGATGAAGATGAAACGTGGCTGGACATTTCAGCAAGACAATGAGCCCAAACACAAAGCCAAGGAAACTCTCAGTTGGTTTCAGAGAAAGAAACTAAAGCTGCTGGAATGGCCCAGCCAATCACCTGACCYGAATCCAACAGAAAATCTATGGAAAGAACTAAAGATCAGAGTTCATAGAAGAGGTCCAYGAAACCTTCAAGATTTGAAGACTGTTTGTGGAAGAATGGGCCAAAATCACACCTGAGCAATGCATGCCACTAGTTTCTCCATACAGGAGGCGTCTTGAAGCTGTCATTGACAACAAAGGCTTTTGTACAAAGTATTAGATAAATTTCAGTAAGTGTGTTCAATACTTTTTCCCTGTGCCATTCCACATTATTACAAATAACTTCATTTCTGGACATTTATGGTTTGATTTCTTTGTATGTATGGATCACTTGGGTTGTTACCRACATCTGGTGAAAATTTCATGTCATTAGCACCTCTAGTAATATATTTACTGAGAAAAATGTTGACGTGTTCAATACTTATTTTACCTGCTGTATATTCCTTTTATTGTCCTAAAATACCATCCATCTTATCACAAGTAATTTTACCACAGAWGCTTGCAATTTTAGTTATTGATGATCCTCTTTAATACTAATCTCACCTTTAACAGGGTCGAAACAGGAAAATAAATTAGAACATGACTCACATCTGGGTTTGTTTTCTCCTTCAAATCAGCTWTTTTGATACATTTTTGTTAACAGGTTGGAAAACAATCAATATTGCCTCGCAGAGTAAACTTTATCTCTCTGCTGATTGCACATCTCCGTACAAAGACCTATTGAAAAAAACAAATGTGACTATATTCCTGTAATGTCTGTGAAATTACCCTCCTTTCAGTCTGGTTAATTGGATGAGCGCTAGATGCTTTTAGCAACAACACAGTGTTAAACCCATTGTTCACAGTTCAGTGTGTTCCTGAAAAGCTTTCTGGTGAAAGTCGTCATTTTGGCAACTTTAAATTTGTCTCCAATGTGCAATGAGCTCAGAGTTTTCATTGACAGCCAGTCCACTGTATACGTATAATACTGGACCAGTTCAAAAAGAAGTTGCATAAAAAGTAAATAAATGCTGAATGCAATGATTTGCACATCTAAATCAATATTATTTATTATGTATTTTTAGCAATTATTATGGTTTTGTGATATTTGTGGATTGCTGTACAGCACTAAGGTGCAGATGTTTTTTAAAGCGCTTTATAAACAAAGTTGACATTGACAAAAGTATATTCACAACAAAAGGTAATAGCCATATCAAATGATGAATGTTACTATTAAAAATAAATTAATTAAGGTAGTTTTAAATTCAATGGCAGCAACACATCTCAAACAGGTCTCGTGGACACTGCTAATCAAAAAATGAACTCTTTTTCTCTAATTCATAGTCAAAATAAAAATATAACTTCACTATCTCAAAATTTGCAAACTAAAAATATAGCTTTGCTAACGTTAAACCACTAAATATGTAAATAAATAAAAAACTAGCCGAACCTAACGCAACACAAGTAAAGATTAGTGGAAGCTAACAGCTAGCTCTTAACCGCTAATACAACTGTCACTCAGGCTGCGTCACACGTCTTTGCCTCCTTGGAGCTGAAGACTGGAGGGACTGACAGAAACCTGTTGATGTTAGCTTGTTAGTTAGCTGTTAATGGACCTAATTTAGCAAAAGCTAACTGGTCAGCTAACAGTCTTCAAAGTTTGAGAAAAAGCTGATTTGCTAAATGAAAAGTTAGTTCTACAACTATTTGATTAGCAAAACCATGCCAAACACTGATTGATTGTAAACACAGTTCACTGTGCCACGTATGCTACTTAAAGCTTTGTCTGGCAAAGAAGAAACCATTTGAGAACACCATACAGAAACATTGTCTTCTCTGGACCAAAGCTTGTTTTATTTTTTTATTATTATTATTTTTATTTCATTTTATTTTATTTTTTGTCAAAAACTGAAATTCTTTTTGGAAACCATCTTCTGTACTACAGAGAACCATCCGACGTGTTCAGTTCTCAGCCAAAAAGTAGCCTCTCTGATGGTATGGGGGTGCATTGAAACATACAGCATGAGCAGCAAACACATTGGGAGTATTTTATATGTGTTACTGCCAAAAAATTAAGAAATACTAATTTTTTTTTTAAAAAAAGTTCTAAATATAAATGGTTTAAACATTTGATAAGTTTACAATGTTACATTTTGAATGTTATGTGAATACTTATGTTGTACTAGCCTGGTAAAAACCAGACCCTTGTCCTTCACTTTGCTTCGTACGAGGGTCTGGACTCTCAGCTATAGAGAAGTGATTCTTGCTGGGGGCGTGGCCTCTGCTGAAGTTTAGAATGATTGGATCGGTTGACCGTGACGTATGCGTGCCAGCTCCGCTGTGAAGGAGGCTAAGCTAAGAAGCTAACCAGAAATCGCGTGCATTTTAAACAACCCTACTGAGAGGAGAGAAGTACCGAGCCGAACGACAACTGTAATTGAAAGCTGCTGACAGATAAATTTATTATGACCCCGCACGTGAAGCGTAAGCTGGAGTCATATTGTTTTCGTACCGTTTATTTCAGTGATTTTTGGTCAACCGTAGCACAAAAACGGCTGCACCGGTCAACATGAAATTTTGCAGGACTGTAG